AAAAAAAAAAAAAAAAAAAAAAAACTAAAAGCTTACACGTCTTAAAATGCGTCTTGTCAGTTCTTAAGCCAAGTCTTGAAAAAACCCCCTAAAAGTTTTGAAAAAAAACCCTAATTGGTTTACTATTGTATAGATTTATATACGTACATAATATATAAATGAAAATAATTATTTATTCAATCTAAATAGTATCTATTTAATTTTAAATGAATAATTTGCTATGTTTATATTAAAAAATTTGTTTTAATTTTCAATTTCTGTAAAATCAAATTCCCAGGAATGTTTTTGTTACATTAAAAAGCAGTTTGTGAGATTTATTTCTATTAGTATAAATCAATTTATGTAAAATCAAATTCACATTTGTGTAACTGTAACAATTTTTATTTTAGCCAAATTTTCTATGATTTTTCATCTGAAACTTTAAAAAAAAATCATTTTGTAATGCTACATTTTATTAATGGAAATTAATTCAGACTTAAAGAAGCAAGTACATTTTTTTATGTAACTCTTTTGTCAGGTGAGAAGAGACAATTACACTGGCATCTCTGAGAATATATAGATGATTACACTATTGGTTTTTGCCAAAAAGCTGTCACCACGATAAGTATACAAACAATTTTTCTGGCTATTTATAAAAAATATTGTCACTAATATAATCTATTACTAATAGGTAAAAATGTTTCAAAAAACACGAAAAAATACAAATATATCACCCTACATCACCTAATTTTCTGAAATTTGGCACAAATGTTTAGAGACATATCTTAGGAAAAATGGTAAATTTTTTTTATAAAATTCTTATCCGTTTAAGATTTATAGCAACTTGAAGTTTGTTTGATTTTGACTAAAATATAAAGGGAGGGGGGTGAAAAATGCCAAAAATGTTTCAGTTTAATATTACCCTTACATGGTGCTTGTAGCAAAGCTGCGATGTTGAAACCTGGTACCAAATAAGCTTAAAACCTGCTAAGCCCGAAAACCCGAAAATTTTGGTTTTGTATCTCTCAAAGCAAGGCAATCTAGTTTATTCTAGGGTTCATAAAATGTACCTAACAATAACAATAAAAAATAGCATTGATAAATATAGGTATAAAAAAAATTTGACTGATAGAAATAAAAAATTATTTTTATTTTCTTAAAGAGTAGATATATATCAACTTTACAAACCAATTTTTTTTTTTGGCGTTACGTTTACTTGAGGAGTTATTGAGGTTTGATATGAACACAAAATTTAAAAGACCAGGCAGAACCATATGCACACATAAATTTGACAAGTACATCTTTTTCTTCTAAATTAATGTCTTCAATGTTTCCTATCTACCACTTTTGCTCATAAGTAACGCAGGCATAATCACCTGGTACTGAGTTTACAGTTGTTACATAGATGTTTCCATAGTCATGAATGAAAGCAAAATCCTTATCTACACTGCATAATATTACACCTATCTAGACAAAATAGCAACATATGTACATATACAATACATTTACAGTTGTTACATAGATGTTTCCATAGTCACCAAAGAAAGCAAAATCTTCATCTACACTGCATAACATTACACATATCTAGACAAAAAAGCAACATATGTATTTATTTCTTTTTACTTATTTTGTTAAACATGTTTTAATAAAGGCATTAAAAGAAAACTGAAAGTCCAAAATAAAACAAAAATATTTTTGACGATGGTTCCACACAAACAAAAAATCTATTCGAGTTTATCTATAAAAATTATGCATGTTTTTTAAAGATATTAAAAGGTATATTAAATATACATTTTTTTACCTTTTGATGGCCAAGTAGTACAAACTGGTGGTAATTATGTCTTCAAAGTATGGTAATTGCAGTATCCAATCGTTCCTTAAGAGTTTCTCACCAAAGTTAAATCTTCTAATGATATATAAATGAAGTGTACACCTTCGATGCTTTCATTGCAATATTTATACATTGCTTGAGGAGATAAAATATGGTTACCCATATTTATTTACAAGTTTGCTAGTGTTGCTAAACGTTTGACTGTACCACCAATCTCATCACAAATTTGTTACATTAGCAAAAAGACCAAAATCATCAAGATGGAAATAAAGATTCAAAATATTTTTGCAACTCTTTTATTGACCTGCACAACCATCTGAAAAGTATTCAATATTTTTTTTATTTGAGATTTATTTTAATATTATTGCTGACAACATTAATAATTTTATACACCGTGTTCACATCTTGCATCATATTATCTGAAACATTACAATAAGATTTGTGCTTGAGAAAACCTTCTTTTTTAAAATATATAATCACAGGATGAAGTGTACATTGTAAATTCGACAATGAAAGCTTTGTACTTCATCCTGAACTATAAATTTATAGTTTTCTGAAAAATCCCCCAGAAATAATGTTTTTAATTTATTCATATCTTTCCTTCTTGATCTGAGGTATGATGCTTGACTCTTAGCTAAATGTGAGTGTGGTGAAAGTTCTGTCAGTTTTTTACATACTAGTTCAATCTATTCAGACACTGGTTCATTATTATGTGTTTAGTTTGACCTATCTGTTGTTATCCACTCATCAAATTCTACTTCATTGTTATCTTCTAACTCTCCAAATAAATTATAAAGTTTTTTAACCAATGCATTCATAGATGCTGGAAATCTTTCACATTTCCGCATCATACAGTCTTTATTAGTCATGTCACAAAAAAACTTGACCAGTTGAACTGTTAAATCAGGAAAAAAAAGAGCTTTTCCTAATTTTTAGTATTAGGAATGGCTAAAATACCTTTTTCTAATGCTAACTTACATGCAGTTTGAGCTACATTGTTTGTTACATGCAATGTTTCAAAAACTTTTTTTATTGACGAGTCAGTTGGAGCAAGCGTTGTCTGTTGTATTTTTTTAGATGTTGTTAGTAGACTCTGCAATTTTATTAGTTAATAATACCATTATGTTATCAACAAGTTTATTTTTTCCATATACTCATTACTGAAACTTGACTGTTCTTTAAAACTTTCTTTTGATATATTAAAGGAAGTGGCAACTTTTTTTAATGGAGGTTGTTAATGCTGTCAATTTTTTACTATTAATTTAAAATCATTCCTGCTAATATCTTCAATCAGATTTCTTACTTGGGTATATGATTGTTTTTAACAACCTCCATAATCATTTACAAACAAACAATTGATTTTGTTATCCATATAAAACTATAATAAGGAATTCTAATTTAAACACTTAAACACAAGAAATTTTATATACAATATTTATAATGAGCAAAGTACACTTGAACACAAACAATATGTCTAAAATAAAAACTATATTTATTAAAAAGTTATATTTATAAAGAACATGTAGCTCGAACAAATAGCTATTAGTTTTAATAAGCATATTTTAAATACCTAATTATCTACTTATTTTTGTCAACTCTCTACTAATTATCTACCAAAAACTAAACTCCGTAGGAACAAAAACTATATTGGGGGGCAGTGTTGAATTAAGAGGCCTCGAATTAGTTTTAAGGACTTTCTTTTTTTAGTCATTTTTTCAGTCGATTTTCTCAAAATTATTTATTTTAAAAATTATTGGGAGGTTATGTAATTATAATTAAATGTAATTATATATAGTTATAATCTACATTCGCCTACTTATTACTTATTTTATTGATGAGATAATCACTATTTTATTACAATAAAATAATAAAAAAAATTGCATAATATTGTTGAATTTAATGACAAACTATTGTGTAATGAAAATAACAAGTAACAAATTTATAAATTTGTAAATTATTTTAACAATATTTTGTGACAACTTTGTAAAAATTTAAATCATATATACTATTTTTTTTTTTTAAATAACTGACTCAAAAATAGATTAAAACAAATTGTATTTAGTTCAATATCAAAATGAATTTGCTAACTTTTTTTTTTTTTAATTTCTTCAGAAAATTGAAAAATTAAAACAACAATAACATCTCAGCAAAATATAAGGCTAACATAAAATTGATTGGTTAAGTAGATATATGTCTAAATTTTAAGAAAATTCAAACCAAAAGTTTTTTTTATCAGTCAGATTTTTCCTATAACTAAAGTTGTCAGTGTTCTTTTTATTGTCATTAGTTAGTGCGTTTTGTAGACCTTAAAATAGACTATATTTTGTTGTTTTTAGAGATAAAAATCTACAATTTTCAGATTAAACAGGTTTTAAACTCCTTTGACACCAAACTTTAGCTTTGCAAAATTACTACAACCATCTTATATTGGTTATAGTAAACGGATATATTTCCGACACTCCCCCTCCCCCTCATTTTTCAGTCAAAATCTAACCAACTTTAAGTTGCTGTAATTCTTAAAGAGGTAAAAAAAATTTTGTCTTTCCAAACATAAATCTTTAAACATTTGTGCAAACTATAAGCGATTTTGGTGATGTACGGTGCAACACCTTGTTTTTTGAAAAAATGTTACTCTATTATTATATACCGAACTATTTGTAATATATTCAATTGGGTCTTTTTCAGTAATCAAATATAATTTGATAAAATGGTTAGCCAATTTTGAAGGGCAGACCCAAATTACCGTTATGTTTTTGTTACATAAAAAAGCAGTTAGTTAGATTTATTTGTATTTGTATTAAACTTTTATACAAACTCGAAATTTCCAGCTTCACTTAAAAAAAAAAAAATAACTTTATTACTTCAGAGAAATAAAATAAATTAAAAACATTTTTTAAAAATTTATATTTAAGTTAACGTAATGTGCATAATTCACATAAAAATTAAGAAAACAAGATTCAAACAAACAAAACAAAATTTAAACAAAAAAATGGCAATCTAATTTAAAGTTGTTCAAAAAACAAAACAAAAACACTTGATCAACAAAATATTCAATTTAAAATAGATTTTTGAGAATTATATTAAAAAATAATCGAATAAATAAAAAAAAATTAGGGTTTTTCAATAAAAATTTTAATTGGTGCTAATGCAATTTTTGATTTCAATTGCTCATATAAAACACAATGGAATGTGTAGTTTATTGGAACTCCATCTTTTGTGACTTTTTATAAAAGGTTACAACGCCGTTCAAAAGATGTCAATAGATTTCATCGTCATTTTTATTTTATGACGGACAAGTTGGAAAAAAATTTAAGTGTTTAAATCTCCGTAACCTGTTCTTCGTCTTCGTCGTCATCACTTAATTGTTCTTCTTCTACTGTAGGTGCATCATCTACTGTAGGTGCATCATCTACAGTTAGGGCGTCTAAAGATGCACTTAAGGGACGATTAAGAGAGTCATCTTTGTTTGAGACAGGGATTTCTCGTTTTTTAGAAGGCGGAGATAATGTCCTACTAAAATTTTCAGGGGAAGTTGGTAAAACTTTTCGTGTATCGCTAAATTTATTTAATTTATCTGTAGATGAAGAAGTTAATTTCTCATTTTTATTTCTATTAGATTTTAATTTATCATCACATTTTTTCTTTTCTTTATTATAACTTAATTGCTTTTCTTCTACTGTAGGTGCATCATCTACAGTTACGGCGTCTAAAGATGGACTTAAGGAACGAGTAAGAGAGTCACCTTTGTTTAAGGAAGAACTTTCTCGTTTAGTAGAAGACGGAGATAATGTCCTACTAAAATTTTTAGGGGAAGTTGGTGAAACTTTTCGTGTATCGCTAAGTTCATTTAATTTATCTGTAGATGAAGAATTTAATTTCTCATTTTTAGATTTCAATTTATCATCACATTTTTTCTTTTCTTTATTATTACATCCTTTATCGTTATCTTCTTTCCCATTTTCAGGAAGTGCAATGTTTATAGATAGCTAAAAATCAATGTACAGGTAAAAAACAACTCAACAAAAAAGATATTTATAAAAGTTTTGATATAATACCAATATAAAATTAAAAACCTTAAAATTCTCAGGAAAAAATTTGTGTTTTTTGTCTTTATTTGCTTTATCAAGCTCATTTTTACTGAACAAGATGCGTTTTACGTTGTCATTTTTATCGTTTGTAATTGGGAGAGTTTGTGTTATGTCGTGCTCCAAAAAAGTAGTATTAAACCAAAAAACAAACATGCGTTCCTACAATAAAAACAAGCAGGCGTTCCTACAATATATTAAAAACAAAAATGCGTTCCTACAATCAGAAAATCACGATCACAATAACAAAAAAACAAAAAACAAAAACAATAATACAGAAAAATTTGTTCATCAATAATAAAACAAAAACACCTTTTTAAATAAATCTTTGTGAAAGAAATCTACTTTAATATCGCCACAAAGCGGAAGTGGATTTTTCAAATGCATTGTATATTCTTTCTCGGATTTCTTTATCTACAATATGTTCAGAAAGTGACACAGAAAAGAAATACAACAAAAGCGATAATAAAAAAATCACTTGTAATGAGTTTCGTTGAAATATACTTTAAATGTTACTTAAAGTATATTTTAACGAAACTCATTACAAATGTCGTAATTTACATAAAAAATTTTAAAAATATCTATTTAGAAGATTTTTTAAATTTTACAATTGAGCCTTTGAACTATTTAAATAGGTGTATTACTTACTTAAAATAAATACTTTTCTTGACAGTTAAAGACTTTTTTTTTTAATGCGTGATGCGGTATTATTTGCCATACTTACACCAATAATATAGGTGTTGTTACATGCAACTGTTCATTATTTAAAAACAGTAAATGTTGTAAACTAAATGTTATAAATGAAACAACGTTTATTTTAAAAAAAAAATTTAGATCACTATTTCTAAATAATTGACCGTCTTGTTTATTTTACCAACACCAAATATGTAATTTTAAAAAAAAAAACTCATATTTTATATTAAAATAAGAATGACCGTCACTCTAAAAGATTACACCGTCAAAATAATAATAATAATAATAATAAATAAGTATAAGTTGGTATGTATAAATTGGTAATTATTTTTCAACTCATTTTCACAATGCACTCATCACAATGCACCCCTATAAACATTCATTTATGCAGAATTTTTACACAAATAAAGTATAAAATCTCATAGATTTTAGATTTTAATTATAAATATAAATTACGAAGAAAGAAATATATTTGAGAAAAGTATGTATCTAGAGCTATGCATGTAAAAAGGACATTTTTTGCACTAGTAAAGTTTTTTAAAAGTTTGTCTTAAGTACACCCTTAACTGAAAATAAAAGTTTGTTGTATAAGGTAACTCAAAAAATTACTTTGTTATATTTAAACTTTAGGTTACAATTTACTATATACTATACAAAAAACATCATTTACAAATGATATATAAAGTACAAAGGTTTTATATAAAATTTGCAGAAAATGTTGATGTATAAAGTACAACAAAAATATTAGATTTTATCTAAAGTTTACAGAAAATATTGATGGATAGAGTTCAACAAAAACATTATTTTTTATATAAAGTTTACAGAAAATATTGAAGTACAACATCACAAAAAAAAAATTATTCAAAAAGTTAAATTGGGTATAGTTTTTAATAATATTAATAAACAATAAAAATATTAAAAATGACAAATAACTTACCTCGAAGGTTTTGGATTTATAAAGCTCAACTTCTCCCGAAAAAACAACAAAACTCGGTACTAAATTAAAATATTTTTTATTTCTTATTTTTTAAAAAAAAAAAAAACAAAAAAAAAAACGATTTCAAAGAAAGATATTTATGCTCATAAAAATTCTTTAGAGCATAAATTGTATCGCAATCATATAACAATAAGAGATATTGAAGGCGAGGTTTTTAATTAAGAAATTAACTTAGAGTTAACCAGAACACTGTTTGTTTGTTTTTTTAATTTTATTTCACTTCCTCAAGGCCGAGAATGCCACTACAGACGAGGAGGCTACTTATTTTGTGGCTATAACCCTCTCTCAACTATATAACTCCGAAACACGAACCTTGACGAACAAGGCCGCTGCGCGGAGAAACGAGTTGAGCGCGGTACTACCATGGACGTGGTGGGGATCGAAATCGGAACCACTCGTTTATGAAGCGAGCGCTCTACCACTACACCACTACCGCATAACTCTAAGTCAATTCTCAGCTAAAGTAAAACCTTAGATAGCGCAAACTTTGGTAAGCCAATCAATTTTTTTGTATTCTTTCAAAAAATTTCTTTAAATAACTCACACTTTTTGTATGGAAAATGAAATCAATAAAAATAAATCTTTAAGAAGTATACAAAATAACAACAGGGTACCAACTATTTTATTTGTATTGTTGCACAGAACAGAATATTATCAGACATAAAACAAAGAAAAAATAAAATTGTTACAAAATAAATCATATTATAATAAAAAAAAAAAGCTTCCAAATTAAAAAATTATATTAAAATAAGAAAAGGGCTTTCGTATGTTGACAGTTTTAATACCAAGTAATAAAACAAGATAATAATTGTATTTATTATTTTATTACTCAGTTTATTGATTGCATAATATTTATATACAACCGTATATATATTTATATATCTTATCGGCATGGGTTTATTTGTTCGAAATAACTAATTTTAGCGCTTTGTTGTGTTTATATTAAGTTTTATATAAAGTATTTTGTGGTTTTCTAGTATAGAAAATAATAATTTTTATTATTCTTATTATTATCATTTATACTTTATTCTATTTATTATTATTATTTTTTAAATTTTCATTTATATTTTACTCTATGTATTTGTATTATATATATATATATATATATATATATATATATATATATATATATATATATATATATATATATATATATATAAATTCTCTTAAATTTTTTTATTTTTAAAAACTAATTTTTTTAAATTACTGCAATAATATTAATTCGCTATCATGCTACTGGTAACATGTAACCCAGTACAATCTGCTTCATGTCCTACTGCCTTGTAGGATATGCCTTTTTAGGCTGAGGCTAGAAGATGCCAACTCTAACATAAAACTCCCCCTGCATTGGGGCTCGAAAAAAAACAAACAAACTAGAGATTGTGTCTCGATAAAAATAATCATCGTGGGCATATGTTGAATGCATCCAGATACTGTCTTGTAAAAGGCCTCCTAGGCAAAGACTTAAGAGGTAAACAGATTCTATCTGTTGACCAGCCTCGCACCCCTTCTTTATCTATTAGACTGGCGCAGATGTATTTTTACTACATTGTTGTCAGTTAAGGATGATGAATGCTGGATCTTCTTGACTCGATGCATGGGTTTTCTTGTGCATCTGTTTTTATGACTAAGTAACTCGTTCTTTTATCTCCTAATGAGGGTACAGCTCTAAAACTCAGTTTTATGGTTCTGAGGCTGGCTGGTAGTCAGGTTTCCCAAACTCTGTGGGTAGCTCTCAGAGAGGCTGATTCCATCAACAGCTGAAAAAAATCAAAGTTTTAACAGTACCATGTTGCGCATGGGTGGTGTCCCTGTTTGTACTTTTGGTGTGCATTGCCAAGGCCACATTGGAGCCTTTTGTTACGGCTTAAGGTTTATTAATAATAATGAGGCAATTGCTTGGGCTATTAAACAGTATACTGAGTACTATCTATGCTTTGAGTCAAGTTCTTTAACAAATTTAAAAAAATGAATAAAGTACCAAAAACTATAAAACACAAAAAACCATTGTCATCACCAAGTTCTCTAAACCTATCATTCACTAATATTCGTGGTCTTCATAGTAACTTTTCTTCTGTTGAATCTTATCTCTTGCAAAGTTCACCAGACCTACTTGCTCTTTGTGAGACTAATTTAAGTTCAGCTGTCTCATCTCACAATCTTAGTGTTGATGGTTATCTTTTTTTAATTCGTAAAGACTCTGATAGTCACGTGCTTGGCCTAGGCGTTTACATTAGTATGAATTCACCCATTTGTTGGGAAACTAGGTTTGAATCCGCAGACTACTCTTTTATATGCTTTTGTTTAGAACCACTTCACTCTATCGCCTTTCTCTTTGTTTTGTATTGCTCTCCTTCTTCACAAAACTGCACTCTTCTTGATGTTATTTCTGGTCATATTGACCAAGGCCTCTTTCTCTCTTTATCCATCAGCCAATATTGTTGCTGTTGGTGACTTTAATGCTAATTACACTGAATGGCTTGGCTCTAGTGTTAGTGACTCTGAAAGCAATAAAGCTTACAACTTTTGTCTTTTTCAATCCCTAATAGTTAACTTTTCCAACTCGCTTTTCCAGACAACCTGAAACATTTACCTTCTCTACTCGACTTATGTCTTGTTTCTGATCCTAGTCAGTGTTCATTTTCTCCTCATTCACCCTTAGGTGCTTTTGATCACAGTTTGATCTCATTAAAACTATTGTCTCATTCTTCTTCATCATCTGAATTCCCCTATCATCGTACATCTTACAACTACCTTAAAGCTGACTGGGATTCTTTTTGTGATTTTCTTCGTGATGGCCCTTGGGTAGAAATCTTTTGTCTTCCTGTTGAAAAATGTGCCTCCTACATAACTTCGTGGATTCAGAATGGCATGGAATCCCTTATTCCCTCTCGACGATTCCAAGTAAAGACTCACTCTTCTCCATGGTTTTCCTCACATTGTGCTGCTGCAATAGCCAATCGAAACTGTTACTTCCATATCTATCAACTAAATAATTCTCTAGAAAACAGAGGTCTGTTTATTACTGCTAGAAACTATTGTAAAAAGTTTTTTTTTAACGTCAAAGCCCGCTATTCTCAGGTCATGAAATCCCATATTTCATCACAAAAATTAGGCTCTTGTGACTTCTGCAGAATCTTTAATAGTATCAATAATAAGGGCAAATCTGTAATTTCACCTCTCTTGTATGGTTCAGTTTTTGTAACCTCACCTAAAGACAAAGCTGAATTGTTTGCTAAAAACTTTTCATTAATATTATCTCTTGATTTCACAAGTTGTGTTCTACCTGATATAGCTGTCAAACAGGTTGATTCATTGCTTGACATTCGTATCACTCCAGCTTTTGTATCTAAAGTGATTTCCTGCTTAGACTCTTCTACAGCTTGTGACCAGGACAACATACCTGTTAAAGTCTTGCAGAAGTGTTCTTCTTAGCTGTCGTCTATCCTTTCAAAACTATTCAACAAGTATTTATCAGAGTCTTGTTTTCCAGCCTACTGGTAAGCTGCATCTGTTATTCTCACATCTAAGGTGGCATTGTTGGCTAATGATACTACCATTTATTCTTGCCATGGTGAAGAGCCAACACTCTCTGATTGCTTGGAGGGGGCATTTGAGCTTGAAAAGGATCTCATTTCTGCTACACCATGGGGCTCACATTTTAATTTTAACATTCTGAATTTTAATTCAGATAAAACTCAACTTTTTTCAGCCAATTGTTATCGCAATAATTTAGACCTTCCTAAATTTATGAACGGTAATGTACTTGATGAGTCATCTACCCTTCACCTTCTAGGATTAACTCTTACTTCCGATCTTTGTTGGAAACCATATATTAAATCCGTTGCAAAATTAGCATCTGCTAAGGTTGCATCTCTTTATAGAGCTCAACACTTTCTTACTTCAGATTCTATTCTTTATCTCTATAAATCTCAAATCCGGCCTTGTATGGAATACTGTTGCCATTTCTAGGGCGGATCTTCTAATGATGCCCTTTTTCTTTTAGACAAAGTGCAAAAACGCTTTGTAAACATAGTTGGACCCGCTCTTGCAGTCAACGTCCAACCATTATCACATTGCTGTAATGTTGCTTCTCTTTCTCTTTTCTACAAATATTATAATAGGCACTGCTCTAAAGAGCTAGTTTCTCTTGTGCCATCTACTAAAATTCATTCTCGTATTACTTGTCATTCAATAAAATCTCACCCTTTTTCTGTGACTGTTTCTAAGTGCTCTGACAACTCTTATTCGCCTAGTTTTTTTCCTCGAACATCAGTTCTTTGGAATTCGCTTCCTTCATCTTGCTTTCCTGATTCATATAGTTTGCAATCTTTTAAAGGGATCCCTAAGTGCTCCTAACATATGATTTCATATGAAAGAGCATAAAAAAAAAATATGTAAGTTTTTTTTCTTTTTCCCTAAATTGTAATAATAAATGCATGCTAACAAAAAGCAATTGCCGAAATCACGAAAAAACAACTCCATTTTGATTTTATTTTTTCACCATTGAAACTCGATTGTTAGTCATTAAAAATCACGTTAGTACGTCACAACAACTTTACAATATCTACTTCGATTTTACTTCGTGATTAAATAGTTAAGTTTTAATCAAGTTTTTTAAATTAGTTTTGCAAAAACAGTATAATAGCATTCGGTTGAAAGACGTCGTTAAAAAAGTTATTAAGTAATAGTTTTAAATAGTTTAGAACTTATAAAAAAGTCTTACAGGGCTCGTATTAAGCATATCCCGATCGCGATTGCTACACACACTTTTGTGATTAGTTTTTTCTTAAAAAAAATCTTTTCGTGACTCTTTTTTTTTTTGGTTGATTAATTACTTTTTTCTAGCTTAGCATTTTTTTTAGCAATTCTTCAAAGTTATGTTTTTATCATAAAAAACGTCACACAAAATTTTTTATTCTGAATAGATAATTTGCTCTTTCGCGCAGAGATTTTCTTTCAACGTAAAACATTTTTGAATTTAAATTACATTAAATCTTTGCGTGGAAAATTTTTACAAGGTCGTCAAAGCGAAAAGTTGAAAAGTTGGTTTTTATCTTTGTTTTCCAAAACTTCATGTTTAAAATAATGCTTAAAAACGTTAGAGCAAAAACTTTACTGACTTTTATTAGCATTTTTATACTGTTTGAAAAAAAAAACTAATAAAAAAGAATTTTTTATTAGTTTTTTTTTTCAAACAGTATAAAAATGCTAATAAAAACCAGCAACTTTTTTACTTTAACGTTTTTACGCCTTATTTTAAACATGAACTATAATTCGATTTATTAAACCAAGTTTTTTTGTTTTATCTTTTATTGGAAAACTTGAAATAGAAAAATTGAATAAAAACATCAACCATTTAAATGAAAAACTGAATTATATTTAAACTTTTATTAGTCCTTTATTCAAGAAACAATAAATTATAAAAAACGTGGTCTAATTTTTTATTAAATTTTTGACGATGTTTTTTGATTTATTGACAATAATTTTTTCCCCCCATTACCGCACATCGGCGCAAGCTATAAGAGAGAGGGGAGAGGGGGGAGAGAGCTATAAGAGAGAGGGGGAAGGGGAGAGAGCATAAAAAAAAAATTTTTTTTTTGCGATTAGATTTTTTTGCGTTAATTCGAGCCCTGTCTTCGTTTAATTTCTAATAAAATGTCTATTCAACCTTATTAATTTGAACCAAAAAAATATAGCAATTTAACATAAATGTTAATTTAAGTAAAACATTTTACAATCATTATTTTTTTTATCAAGCAAAAATGAGAGTAACCGTCACTTTTGAAACCATAAAAATTACTGAAATAAATTTATTTTTTTACTAAGGAAATATTATAAATAAACTTTTATATGTCTAAGTCAATATTCATTTGTTTTCAATTGACTAAAAAGAGTTTAAAATTTGACTTCTATTCATTTTTAGCCGTGGAATTGCCCTTATGACACAAATATATAAATTAATATTATAAAAAAAAATTTAATATACAAATATATTTTCACAAAATGCTACAAAACTTATTCTTGTAAGTAATTATGTGTTAGTTGAAAAAAAAAACGACTTTAATTACCAATTAATAAGTTTGCAATAATGACATTTTGTCTACTTTGTTTAATTTGACGTACTAACGTTAGTTTTTTGAGGCAATAGAGTCAATAAACTTTAGACAAGGCGCATTTTCTTTAATCGATGAAAAGCGTTTTTTTGAAAATTAAATTTGTTAGTGTGTGTTCATTATTACGTTTTAGAAAAAATAATATACATCAAACATTTTTTTTTTTAATGCTCTATCATATGAGATCATATCTTTATAACACTTAGGGATCCCTTTAAGTCGTCTGCCAATTGTTACCTTGCTCTTCAATCTTCTTCTTTTCTCTTCTAGTAACTTCCAATTCTAATTAGTGGTTGCTTGCAGCCTTGTTGGAAGCAAAGATGTTTAAAAAATATAAATATATATATACATATATATACAAATAGTATTGCGTACTAAGGTAAGCAATCTGACGTCATACTGAAATAGCCTGCTGCTGGGGGCTTCAGAACATACATTGAGTGACAAATAGCCTGACTCGCAGTGGAGTGCTGTTACATCGACTGAGGGTTTGGGATGAAGCAACAATCGTTTCATTCATCATTCTTCGTTTTTTTTTCTTCTTTTTTTGAAAAAAAAAAAGAAGAAAAAAAAGCCGTATGGATTAAGGTAAGCCAAAAAAAGTGAGCAAATGCTTATAAAAATACGCTTTAGTAAGTGGCTATATATATATATATATATATATATATATATATATATATATATATATATATATACAACCCTCAGAATTAAGAAAAACGAGCAATAATTTGATACAAAGGTCTAACCATATAACATAGAAACGAGGTTGGCAGTTTTTTGCTGACCTCAAGCACTTTCAGGTCGGCAGTTAGGTCGGCATTGCTGGGTACCGACCCTAATTCCGAGGGTTATATATATATATATATATATATATATATATATATATATATATATATATATATATATATATATATATATATATATATATATATATATATATATATATATATAATTTGCCACAATGTATATAAATATATACCTAAAAAAACACTGCCAGTATTATTTCATCAATAATATTAGTGCTTTACAAATTTAGATGAAGTAAGGATTTTGGCTGTTTGTAGTGAAGTCCTTCCTTATGTATGGAGCAGGCATAAATCACAGGGTCAAACATAAATGGCAATGATGTTTATTTGACTGGATAACTAGGTATTGGTGCTGAGCCTCTTTGAAATGCTGGTAAAAATAATAGAGATTCTATCACAACATATACTGTGATTAAACAAAAGCAATAATGATTTTTCTTTATCTCATACATCTTATTATTTTATGTTTGTTTATTTTAAATATTGGTATATCTATACATATATATAAATATATGCATATATATTATACATAATTATAATAAAAATGAAATAAAATTTTTTTGCTGCACCCATAAAATTAAATATGGCATGCCTAACACCTGTAAATCTTTTTTTTTCATTGTTTATATTTTGATTTTTTATTAATTTTTATTTTGTTTTGTTTGTGTGAGTTGTTTTTGTATTTTCTGTGTATGTCATCTTGTTATTGCATATTTAATTATTCTAGGAGGATGATTCCATTGAATTTTATCTATATTTTCCCCTAATTTATAATATTAAATCACATCATTTCTTGCTCTTCTTGTTTTTAATGTAATCAAGTTAAATCTTTTCATTCTTCTGCAGTATTTGCAAATCTTCATAGCAAACACTCTTTAAACTTGATTAACTGAAACAATTTGGTGAATCATTTCGAGTGTACTGCACATAAAATATTTGCAGTTCAAGTTTCTTTTAACGATATGCATAATTTTGCATTTTTCTTTATTGAAGTTGATTAACCATTTTTTGCTCCATTTAGCTTACATAAATCTTGCTGTAACATTCGACTGTCTTCCACTGTTTTAATGACTGAAATAAGTTTTGTATCATCTGTGTACAATATGCCATACTAGTAATTACAAATGTTAACCATTTATATAGATGACAAATAAAATGGGCCCAATAACTGATCCTTGTGGTACTTCACTAATTACTTTCTTCTATTAAGAAGTGATTGGGTCAAAAACTACTTTTTGCGTTCGCTTGCTTAAGAAACTTTTAAAAAAACGTACTAAGAGGTCGTCCATAAACTACGTCATGCAGTTTTTGACATTTATTGACCCCCAATCCCCCTCATAACGCATCCATAACACTTTATTGACAACCCCCCCCCCCCAATATTATGCAACAAATTTGTACACTCCCCCCCTCCCTAAAATTTTTTGAAAAGTTTTTTTAGAGAAGATGGGAGGGGGCGCAAAATTTTTTAAAATACAAAGCAATTTAAAATATAATGTCTATAATTCTCTGAGTGTCTTTGAGTTAATTAATTAGTACTTTTCAGTCTGTTTAATATTTTTTTTTCACACGAATAGTTCCATGTAAAATTGTATAAATTAACATCGCTATCCTAAACATGATACCAATTTCAAGAATCTATTTTTCCAAAATATAATACATGAAAAAAATTATATATATAATATATAATAATTAATAACATATTATGCAAAAATATTAATTTATAAATACAATTTTCTTTTAACTAGCTACGTAAGTGTGGTCGAATGGATTCTGCCTCCGGCTATTAAACTGAGGGTTCCAGGTTTGTTTCTCGGTATCGAAAAGTTTTTTTTTTTTAGTTATTGTATAAAGATTGTTTTTTTGTTGATGCACACTTTTGTGCACCAACAAAATAAAGTTCTGCACTTGAACCATATAAATTCAAAGCGCAGAACATGCACTGCACAAACAGCTGTAACAGTCCGTTAACAGACTGTTACTGAGTGTACACATCGACTAAGTAAGACTTAGGGGTAGTTAATTTTACAAACAACATATAGATACATCAACTGAGGGTTTTGGTTGGGTCGGATACTCTTTTAATTAAAAGAACGCCTTCTCTAAAAAAAAAAAAAAAATGTTGAGTTACAAAATCGAGACCCCCTCTTATAACAAATCGTCACAAAATCACCTACCCCTACCCCCCTAAGCGTGATGTAATTTATGGACGACCCCTAAATGTTCTTGAATTCCATATGATTGTACTTTTAATAATGTTTACAAAAATTTTTTTTTTCCAAATACTCTTAGGCAGGTTTTGAAAGTATTTAAGTTTTTAGATTTTTTAAGCTTTTTAAATAATAAAATAAACTTGTGTTTAAATTTTTCAGACATTTTACATGAATTTTAATATTATTGCTAACTTTAATTTTTTCAGAAAAAAAGATAACTATAAAAACAAAACTTTCTGTTTTCATAAATGGAGACACCATTTATGAAAAAAACCAAATTTTTCAATATAACCTCATCAGTTCAAACGCAAATCTTTCAATATAACCTCATCAAAGATGTTATATCTCAGGATATAAAATATAAAAAGAACATATAATACAAAAAAAGCTTTACAAAAAGTTTTGTAATAATCACTATTTACCACAAGTTCCATAATTAAATGTAGGAATTCCAATAAATGTGAATGATTTGAGAAAAACAGTTTTTCTATCAAAACCAATACCCGGTTGATTTCTAAATAAATGATTTTTGAATTACTTTAATTTTAGTATAAATTATTAAATTAGTGTTTCACAGCAAGATGTGTGATTACATGTCTTTATATGATCATGCATATAACATTTTTGCTTTGCTGACTTGATCATGGCTTTTAAATAGATTTATAACTTTTGCGCATTTCAAAGATGACACTTAAAAACAAAAGAATCTTAATAAAAATGAAATCAAAAACCATAAACTTAAAAAAAAAAAAAAATCTTAACCTGAGAGAAAATGAACAAAAGAAAAAAAGTAGGTTATAAACCAAATTTTTATCATTAGTTTTAAAGCGTTTTGCTTAATAGACTTGCATGAAAATCAAAGTTTCTAAGATAATTATATATATATATATATATATATATATATATATATATATATATATATATATATATATATATACATATATATGTATATATATATATATACCTATATGTATATATATATCTTTATATGTCTTATATATACTCATAGTCAAGCAGCAGCACGGTTTTGTTAAAAGTAAATCATGCACAACATATCTACTTGATACACTAGATTTTATTTCCACCAGTTTAGAAAATGGTAAACCTGTTGATGTTTTTTTTTTGGATTTTGCTAGGGCATTTGACACAGTGCCCCATAAAAGGCTGTTATTAAAACTAGCAGCTTATGGAATATCTGGTCTAACAATTAAATGGATTGAAGCTTTTCTGAAATATAGAAAACAAAGAGTTGTGCTAGGCGAAAATGTATCTTCTTGGGCAGAAATTATCAGCGGTGTGCCACAGGGGTCAGTAATTGGACCACTTTTGTTTGTGCCATTTATTAACGATTTTCCTGAAACCTTAAAAAACATATCTATGCTGTACGCTGATGACGCTAAAATAATGAATGAAATGATTTCCTACAAATCAACAGTGTCTTTGCAAGCAGATCTTGATAGAGCTTTTAAGTGAACTCAAGAGTGGCTTGCAAAATTCAATATTTCTACATGTATGTTCATGCACTATGGGATTAATAACAGAAAAACACCACTTTATATCAATAAACAAAAATTAAACGTAACAGAATTTGAAAGAGATCTAGGAGTAATTTTCTCAAACAAACTAAAATGGAAAAATCAAGTGATATCATGCGTAGGCAAAGCTAATCAAATGTTGGGTATGACTAAAAAATGCTTTGTTTGTTTAGATGTTAGACTACTGAGATCACTTTATGTATCTTTTATCAGGCCACTATTAGAATTTGCAGTACCTGTTTGGTCACCGAATCAAAAGGGTGAAATTGACTTACTGGAAAGAGTTCAACATCGTGCAACTCGACTAATACCATCACTCAAGAAAATCAACTATGAGAATCGTCTAAAAGCTCTTGACTTAACTACGTTAACAAATAGAAGAAAGAGAGGAGACATGATTTAACTTTTTAAGATTTTTAACGGTTTCAACAAATTAGAAACAAAAAGAAAGTTTAATTTTCAACAAACTCAAACAAGAGGTCACCGGTTTAAATATGTAAAAGAAATCACTAAGCAAGCTCATCAAAAAACTTTTTCTTTAACAGATCAGACAATTTATGGAATAGCTTCCCGAACGATTTAGTTAATTCAGAAACAGTTAACAGTTTTAAAGCCGGTCTTGATTGCTGGATGAGCAGCAGTCAGGCAAATCAGCTGTCATAGTGTGCTAATAACACACTAACTGGTTCATACCAATTACAGCATATAATAATAATAATATATATATATATATATAAATATATATATATATAAATATATATATATATATATATATATATATATATATATATATATATATATATATATATATATATATATATATATATATATATATATATATATATATATATATATATATATACAGTAGCGTCCAAAAAATTTCACTAAAGCCAACATATTATATACCAATTAAAAGGTTTCAATGTTAACAATTATGTTTTGAGCAAATAATGAATATTTAATTATCATTTTAAAATTGGTTAACAAAATGGCGATTTTTGATAAGTTCAAAAGTTTGCAGACAAACTAACGCTTTTAACATTTTCACCACAAAATAGCTAATTTGTTGATTTTATAAACAAATACTTGGTGGAAATAATTTCAAAACTTTATATATAAGTGATTGAGATCATGGGATCTAAGATATGTATTTCATCTCCAGTAAAAAAATTGATCTTGAGATCAGTTCAGAATGGAAACTCGTTTCGTAACAGCTTTATGGAGTTGGTAAGTCTGCTGTTGGGCAAATTATGAAGAGATTTGAGCTTACTAGATCTACAAAGAATAAAAATCAAACAGGAAGGCCACGCAAAACAATGCGTTATTAGGATAAAAAGCTTGTAATACTAAGCAAAGAAAATCCCCGTTTGACAGCTGTCGATTTAAACGTACAAATGAGACGTTTCTATGGAATGAATTGTAGTATTTTTACTATAAAACGTCGTTTACGTCACACTAATTTGTTTGGAAGACGCCCAGCTAAAAAACCATTAGTTTCCTTGAAAAACCGTAACGCCCGAATGGAATTTGCATAAAAACATCTAAAGTGGAGTAGTCAAAAATGGTCAAGAATTCTTTTTAGTGACGAAAGCAAACTTATGCTGTTTGGATCCAATGGAATCAGGTATGTTCGACATCCAGTAGGTACTAGGTACAATCCTAAATACCAACTGCCTACCGTAAAACATGGAGGAGGTAATGTAATGGTTTGGAGATGTTTTAGCCGAAATGGAGTTGGTCCTCTCCATAGAATTACCGAGAATATGAATCAAGAAAAGTACAAAGATATATGTAAGACTATTATGTTACCATATGCAAAGGATAAAATGCTTCAAGGATGGATTTACCAACAGGATAACGATCCCAAACATACAGCTAAATAGGTTTTAGAGTTTTTTAAAGAGAGTAAAGTTAAAGTTTTGAAGTGGCCATCCCAATCACCTGACTTAAATCCCATTGAACATCTATGGGAACATGTTGACCGCCAAATGAAAGGATTTAAGCCTACAAATTATGCTGATTTATTTAAAAAAATCAAAGAATTATGGGACTTAATTCCCATTGACATTTGCATCAATTTAGTTGACTCTATGCCTCATAGATGCCAAGCTATTCTTGATTGTAAAGGATATCCTACAAAATACTAATACAAAACAAAATTGTTATTTTTTATTACATAAAAAATTGCGTCTTTTAAGAAAAAATGAAAAAAATGCATTTCTAATGTTTTTTTATGATAATTTTGATAAATAAGTTAAAAGTATTTCGAAATGAATATTATTTTTGAAATATTTATATAATTTCGCTTCATTTGAGTACCAGGTTGACATTTTTGAAAAACTTTTTTTTCAAAAATATTTGAGGGTCTTGAGGGACCCATTAAAATATTTATTCAAAAAAAATTTAAACCTAGTGTTTTTGTATTAGATAGAATACATTTAGGGAGTGAGAGCAGATTATTTTCATAAATGTTGTTTTTTGGGACACCCTAATATATATATATATATATATATATATATATATATATATATATATATATATATACATATATATATATATATATATATGTATATATATATATATATATATATATATATATATATATATATATATATATATATATATATATATATATATATATATATATATATATATATCAAACAATATTAGAATAATTATCTTATAAGGAAATTATTGGAATAATTAGCTTAGAAACTTTGATCTTTCTGCAAGTCAATTAAGCAAATCGCTTTTAAATTTAAAAAATAAAAATTTGGTTTATAGCTTACTTTTTTACTTTTGTTTATATTCTCTTAGGTTTTTATTTATGGTTTTTGTTTTCATTTTTATTTAGTTTACTAATATTTTTAAGTGCTGTTTTTAAAATGCGCAAAAATTATTAAACTATTTAAGAGCCATGGCCAAGTCAGCAAAACAAAAGTATTGCATTTATATCTTTATATGAGCATTTATTGCATATATTTATATTATATTGCAATCACACATCTTCCTGTAAAACAATGTAAATCATAAAAACAGTTATTAAATTATAAAAAAAATTATTGTAGTACACAGTTTTGCATAAATTAAAATTTTGAAGACCAGATATTATTCAAAATATAGAAAATCGTGACAAAATAAACTGGTAGGGGCAACCAACCACTGTTTATTTTGTCAGAAAAAAATAACAATGGTTGTATGCTTCCCTCAGTTTGGTTTCAAAACATATCCAATAGAGATTGTCTGACACTTCTCTTGACCACTGTGTGTGTGTGTGTGTGTGTGTGTGTGTGTGTGTGTGTGTGTGTGTGTGATATATATATATATATATATATATATATATATAATAATAATAATAATACATATATATATATATATATATATATATATATATATATATATATATATATATATATATATATTATAATATATATATTATAATATATATATATATATATATATATATATATATATATATATATATATATATATATATATATATATATATATATATATATATATATGTATGTATATATATATATATATATATATATATATATATATATATATATATATATATATATATATATATATATATATATATATATATATAAGTTAAATCCCAGCGATTATTTTTTAATAAACAATATGTGCAGCCGTATAATTTTAATAAATGATGTTTGGGAAAAAAATCTTTGCTTTCACAACCAAATTGTTAGAAAAATAATAATCATTTAATAAATAAAGGAATGAAATAAATTAATATTTTCATTTGTAAGTCGCTACTTTTTTTAAAATAAAAAATCATTCGTAGTGGCAAAGCGCAATTAGAATTTTAAGAAATAATCATTTAAAAATTAAAAAATTTAAAATATTTAAATTCATTATTATTTTTAATTTTTTTATGAGTCAAATAAAGAAAGTCTTTTGATACCAAACATTTTTAAAAATGTAATATTTAAAAATGTTTAATATCAAAAGATTTCTTTTTGATATTAAATTAAGTTATTTGATATCATAATAAAAAAATAAAAGAAAATAAACATTCCCTTAAAGTAATAACAAAAAAACTGTTAAATAACATTCAACTTGTTATGTAGTAACTTTTCTTTTTTAAACATCTTTGCTTCCAACAAGGCTGCAAGCAACCGCTAATTAGAGTTGGAAGTCACTAGAAAAGAAAAGAAGAAGATTGTAGAGCAAGGTAACAATTGGCAGACGACTTAAAAGATTGCAAACTATATGAATCAGGAAAGCAAGATGTAGAAAGCGAATTCCAAAGAACTGATGTTTGAGGAAAAAAACTAGGCGAATAAGAGTTGTCAGAGCACTTAGAAACAGTCACAGAAAAAGGGTGAGATTTTATTGAATGACAAGTAATACGAGAATGAATTTTAGTAGATGGCACAAGAGAAACTAGCTCTTTAGAGCAGTGCCTATTATAATATTTGTAGAAAAGAGAAAGAGAAGCAACATTACAGCGATGTGATAATGGTTGGACAATGACTGCAAGAGCGGGTCCAACTATGTTTACAAAGCGTTTTTGCACTTTGTCTAAAAGAAAAAGAGCATCATTAGAAGATCCGCCCTAGAAATGGCAACAATGCCCCCTCCAAGTAATCAGAGAGTGTTGGCTCTTCACCATGGTAAGAATAAATGGTAGTATCATTAGCCAACAATGCCACCTTAGATGTGAGAATAACAGATGCAGCTTACCAGTAGGCTGGAAAACAAGACTCTGATAAATACTTGTTGAATAGTTTTGAAAGGATAGACGACAGCTAAGAAGAACACTTCTGCAAGACTTTAACAGGTATGTTGTCCTGGTCACAAGCTGTAGAAGAGTCTAAGCAGGAAATCACTTTAGATACAAAAGCTGGAGTGATACGAATGTCAAGCAATGAATCAACCTGTTTGACAGCTATATCAGGTAGAACACAACTTGTGAAATCAAGAGATAATATTAATGAAAAGTTTTTAGCAAACAATTCAGCTTTGTCTTTAGGTGAGGTTACAAAAACTGAACCATACAAGAGAGGTGAAATTACAGATTTGCCCTTATTATTGATACTATTAAAGATTCTGCAGAAGTCACAAGAGCCTAATTTTTGTGATGAAATATGGGATTTCATGACCTGAGAATAGCGGGCTTTGACGTTAAAAAAAAACTTTTTACAATAGTTTCTAGCAGTAATAAACAGACCTCTGTTTTCTAGAGAATTATTTAGTTGATAGATATGGAAGTAACAGTTTCGATTGGCTATTGCAGCAGCACAATGTGAGGAAAACCATGGAGAAGAGTGAGTCTTTACTTGGAATCGTCGAGAGGGAATAAGGGATTCCATGCCATTCTGAATCCACGAAGTTATGTAGGAGGCACATTTTTCAACAGGAAGACAAAAGATTTCTACCCAAGGGCCATCACGAAGAAAATCACGGAAAGAATCCCAGTCAGCTTTAAGGTAGTTGTAAGATGTACGATGATAGGGGAATTCAGATGATGAAGAAGAATGAGACAATAGTTTTAATGAGATCAAACTGTGATCAAAAGCACCTAAGGGTGAATGAGGAGAAAATGAACACTGACTAGGATCAAAAACAAGAAATAAGTCGAGTAAAGAAGGTAAATGTTTCAGGTTGTCTGGAAAAGCAAGTTGGAAAAGTTAACTATTAGGGATTGAAAAAGACAAAAGTTGTAAGCTTTATTGCTTTCAGAGTCACTAACACTAGAGCCAAGCCATTCAGTGTAATTAGCATTAAAGTCACCAACAGCAACAATATTGGCTGATGGATAAAGAGAGAAAGAGGCCTTGGTCAATATGACCAGAAATAACATCAAGAAGAGTGCAGTCTTGTGAAGAAAGAGAGAAATACAAAACAAAGAGAAAGGCGATAGAGTGAAGTGGTTCTAAACAAAAGCACATAAAAGAGTAGTCTGCGGATTCAAACCTAGTTTCCCAACAAATGGGTGAATTCACACTAATGTAAACGCCTAGGCCAAGCACGTGACTATCAGAGTCTTTACGAATTAAAAAAAGATAACCATCAACACTAAGATTGTGAGATGAGACAGCTGAACTTAAATTAGTCTCACAAAGAGCAAGTAGGTCTGGTGAACTTTGCAAGAGATAAGATTCAACAGAAGAAAAGTTACTATGAAGACCACGAATATTAGTGAATGATAGGTTTAGAGAACTTGGTGATGACAATGGTTTTTTGTGTTTTATAGTTTTTGGTACTTTATTCATTTTTTTAAATTTGTTAAAGAACTTGACTCAAAGCATAGATAGTACTCAGTATACTGTTTAATAGCCCAAGCAATTGCCTCATTATTATTAATAAACCTTAAGCCGTAACAAAAGGCTCCAATGTGGCCTTGGCAATGCACACCAAAAGTACAAACAGGGACACCACCCATGCGCAACATGGTACTGTTAATACTTTGATTTTTTTCAGCTGTTGATGGAATCAGCCTCTCTGAGAGCTACCCACAGAGTTTGGGAAACCTGACTACCAGCCAGCCTCAGAACCATAAAACTGAGTTTTAGAGCTGCACCCTCATTAGGAGGTAAAAGAACGAGTTACTTAGTCATAAAAACAGATACACAAGAAAACCCATGCATCAAGTCAAGAAGATCCAGCATTCATCATCCTTAACTGACAACAATGTAGTAAAAATACATCTGCGCCAGTCTAATAGATAAAGAAGGGGTGCGAGGCTGGTCAACAGATAGAATCTGTTTACCTCTTAAGTTTTTGTCTAGGAGGCCTTCTACAAAACAGTAGGTAATTAAAAAATCATAAAAAGAATTCTAAAGAATTCTTTTTATGATTTTTTAATTACCAAATGTAGATGATACAACTTCCTGCTTGCAAAAAGTCATGCAGTTATTACATAATTAATTATATCAATTCCCAACTTCATGTGAAATAATTTTTCTACAATTTGATTTTTCTGATGTTTAGACATTCTTTCTGATGATCCTTTTGATGGAGAAATAAGCTGTAGAAGAAAATAAAAATTAGATGAGTGTTTTTACTATTTATTACTGCTAATTTCTTTAAGAACATTGAGCACTCTTTTTGTAGAATATACTAACATTATATATATATATATATATATATATATATATATATATATATATATATATATATATATATATATATATATATATATATATATATATATATAAATATAATATATATATATATATATATAATATATATATATATAATATATATATATATAATATATATAATATATATAATATATATATATATAATATATATATAATATATAAAATACATATTATATATATATATTATAAATACTATATTTATATATTATATATTTTAAAAGTGCTATAAAAAAGCAGAAATTCAACATTTTAGTTAAACAGAAAAATAAAATACAAAATTAACATCTTAAATTTAAAAAAAATGTTTTAAAAGATTTCAGATACAGCTAAATTAAACCATTAATATTTAAAAATAAAAGCCATACTTTATATGTTTTAGGTAGTAGCTGAAGTATTCTATGTATCTTTTTTGACTAGGTATTGTGACACCCTATTACAAAACAAATAATAAAACAATCAAAAATAATATCATTATTTACAAAATAAAAATTTTTATTTACATACTTAGAATACAATAGAATTTCTATTTACATACTTAGATTCTATTTACATACTTACACACAATAGAATTTTTATTTACATTCTTAACCCAAAATATTAAAACCACTCATATTATTGCAATAGTGGTGCACCAATCATATTATCACTTTATGATAATATTTTGACAGTTTTATCAAAAGGTTTGAAAAATCAGGTTAAAATATCAAACTTAGAACATTTACTTATTCCAGCAGATTTAGCAATTTACTAATATATTTTGTTAACTATAATCTAGTCAGTTTTTATACAAAGGGGAAAAAAAAAGTTAAATCTTTTTTTCCCCTTTTTTATTTATAACTTTCATACATAGAAGTTTTTCACACTTTTTCTGGAAAAACTGGAAAAAAAAGTCATTTGGTAATTTAACAGTTGACTCTCGACACCACAAATACTCAATATCTAGAACTTTTTTGTTTCTTGAACTTTATTTTCTATTTACATACTTAGATTCTATTTCTCTCAATATCTCAAACTTTTTTCTAGGTATCAAGACTCGACTGTATTCTAAAAGTGTAAATGGTATATAAAAATAAACTATAAAAGTGTAAATGGTATATAAAAATAAACTATAAAAGTGTAAATGGTATATAAAAATAAACTATAAAAGTGTAAATGGTATATAAAAATAAACTATAAAAATCTTTAACTGGAAAAAATATTATACATTTAATAAATTTTAAATGTATAAAGCGTATATACAAATAAACATTAAATATAATATATAAACAAATATGTTTTTGAATTTTAAAAATATTTTGTGCTATAAAAATAGATAAAAAAGCTACCACAAGAATGAAATAGTATAACTATATAATGTATAACTATCATAAGTATAAAATATAAAAAATATAATCAAAACTTTAAATTTAAAAAATAAAGGTATAAAAACAATTAAATGTTTATTTGACTTTGCAGCTTAGTTTTATTAAACTCTTACTTCTTACAGTCTGCGCCAAATAAATAGCACATTCAATAATTTAGTAATAAAAATGGGTGTATGAAAGTATTAAATTTAACACAATAATTAAATATTTATATAATCAAAGTTATCTTTTTTAACAATTTCAATATAACAAAATTTATCAGTGTCAGCTGAATTATCTGATTCTTATTTTTTTAGTTTAACTAAGGATTTGCGTCTATTTGTTTGGCGTGGACTATATCTATATATCATAACGCTAAAATTTATCAAACACATGTTTCTATATTATTTACAATGACTTGAAGTTAAAATACATGTGATTTTCTCAATAAAAAAAAACAATATAATACGTACATTGTACTACAATGTATGCAACTAAAATTATACAGATTACTCAATATTCAAAATCACTGTTTCATGTCTTTATTGATAAAATTAAATAAAAAAATTACAAACTTTTTTGTTTTCAGTTCGAGATACTGCATAATAATCCATTGCATCTTTTGCATTGTCATAGAAACCTTTATATAATAAATATGCACATATCATTACGCCTGTGCGTCCCTATGAAAAAAGATGTTGATATATCTGTTTTCTAATAACTAAAAATATAGCACCAATGTATTTTTATTTTTTTTAAATTTAGTTGTATACATCTATTTCTTTGCAAAAAAAAACATTAAGTACATATAAATTAAATTAAATTTAAAAATAACATTTGTTTTACCTTTCCAGCTTTGCAGTGAACTATTGCAACATTTTCAACATCTTTAGTCAACCAATTATCCATATCAACACAACATTGTTCAATAAGTTCAAACGGTGGTGCACAATGATCTTTAAAGCCAAACACAGAAACTAGATAAAAGATTTTTTAAAAACTTAAAACATTTCAAAAATTATATATAAATAATAACAAGTATTTTAAGACTAAATTCGCAGGCAGTGTCATATTCTTCTTTCATCATAGTTGAAACTTTTATTAAATGTGCTTTTATTATTTCAATTCAAAACAAAACCGCAAAAATTGTAAAAATTAACGGTTAAGTTAAAAATGAATGCATATACTAGGGCGACACAAAATAGGGCCGAAAAATTAAATTTTACAAAAATCAATAACAATTGCATATCCTGTTCTACAACATTCAGTTAGTTTAATACAAAATTTCTTATTTTTGTTTGTTGGAAGTGCTACATGTAATTTTTCAAATTTGAGGATTGGTTGAACTTTATGTCATTTTTACAAGTTAAAATATGTTTATAACTAAACTTTTTTTTGATCCTAGAAGAAAAAAAACACTGTTTATAGTTTCATACAGTTAGCTATTATTTTACATTATTTTTTCAACTCTAGGTTTCAGCTTTACTAGTTCCTTAAGCAACATATCTTTTGTTATTAGCTTTTTATGTTTCCTGACTATCAAAAGAATGTTCTGTCTCTGATCCTCATTGTGGAAACAGTGAACAAAGTTTTCAACTAAATTAATATTTTTTTTCTACGCAGTCGTTAGTTACACTAAGATTGCAAACTAACTGAGTAAAATTTGTGTATGAATCTAGTGCTAAGAAATCACTTGAAGTATGCCACTATCGAACAGATTCTGTGTGACCTGTAAGTATAAAAAAAAAACCAACTCTCCTTTGTAATTAAATCCTCTAATCGAACTGAAAATTTTAAGTTTCTCAATGATTAAACAGCATTTGCTTTCATATGAGAATTGCCTAATGATAGTATGATTGTATGACAACTTTAGGAGACAAATACCATGTGTGGTTACTCATGCTTATCTGAAGTGAGTTTCCAACTTCATAATCCCTATCTTTTTTATTTGTTTCAGCAATTTTAAATGCATTAAAATCATTTAGAACGGCATGCTCTGCATTGCCTGATTTAAGAAAGGCAGGTCCAAAATAAATAGCAACAATAAACCCTCGAGACCATATGTTTCTTTTCAGGAGTCAGATATAAAATGATTGTGGATGTGATAAAGTGATTGCCAGGCTGATTGATGTGAAAATTATTTAATTTCTCAGATTTAATGTTCATGTAAAACGCCAAATATTCAACAAGATGTCTATATTCATTCCTAAAATATTCTTATTTTTATTTAATATCTAATATAATAATAAAATAATTTAATAAAAAAAAGTATGGAATAAGTAATGGAAAAACTAATTCATTTTATATTATTGTTACAAAAATTTTTGTTGCATAATAGTCAAGCATCATTAATTTAAATAAATAATGCCTAATCATTTCAAACAAAGTATTAAAAAAGCAGTTCAAAGTTTATAAAATAAAACAAACTAATTACTCAACCATTATTTGATTCAATAAATTTTCACTTTATGTTTTTTTCACAGTCTTGCTAACAAATTTATTGAGTATTTTCTATTACTTTCTGCAAGACTTTTTTCAACAATAAACTCCCAAACTCCTTGGTTTGCCCCAAAAACTACTCAAAAACAAATTAGTGGCCATGTAGCCATATTCTGCAGAAATTTATTTATGCCTAAGTACATATACTTAAATTGAGATGGATATTGACGTCATTTTTATTAAAAAGATAGATAAATATATATCTAAATACATCATAAACAAATAGCAAATATATATATAATATATATATATATATATATATATATATATATATATATATATATATATATATATATATATATATATATCAGGGGCTATTCTAGTCTGTTTTTTTTAAACATTTTTTTTTACCTTTTTATGGCAAATATTGTTTTTTTTCGCAAAAAAAATTGCTGATTTTCCGATAAAGTGCATCAGAACGAGGGAGTACTACCGCCCAAAGGTACTATATCTTAACCCCAGCTAACAATTGCTGCTAAAATTATTTTTTAGCTGGGAGGGAGTTAAAAAAACTCATATTTACCAAGGGACAGGGCCCACTTACTAGAGACATTTCATTTTATTTATTTGTAGGACGTTTGCATCAACTAAAAATATGACAGTACATTATGGAAATTATAAAACATATTGGGACCATATGATCCACAAGTAAGAATTCATTTTCAACCGATGATACTTAAAAATCTAAAAAGAGAGGTCTAGATTTTTTTGGGCTCTACTACTACTGAAGCAAAATAATTTCATAAAAGGTGTAGTTAAGGTAATTTTAAAATATTATAAAGTCTGTAAGATATTTTGCTGACTATAACATACAGTGGGTTGCCAAATTATTAGGGACACTTTACTTTTTTAATAATTTTAAAGTTTTAATGATTATTGCGAGCAAATAAATTGTTTTTAAATAATTTTTCTTGTGTATTTTAGTTACTAACATAATTATAATTGTTATCAAATTGTGGCGACACTGTCAGTCCACCCTATCATTCAAAAAGTTAGGTTATTATTTAATTAGCTGTCAATTGTTGAAAAGTGTGGTTGGAGTAAGTTCAAAATTGATTTCAATTATTTATTTTTGGAACAATTTTTTGCAAGTTTTTCGAGTTCAGAACTATTAAAACCTAGTATTAGTTAATAGTTCAATTAGTTAAGGCTAATAATTTATTATTTTTGCTAATTTTAATGCATAAATCCAGACTTGTAACCATTCTTACCTCATATTGATTTTTTTAGTATGGGCAAGTCTTCCGACTTAACCCTAAGAAAAAGTATGGAAGTAAAAACCTTACTTCTTCATTCTACACATTCTCAGAGAGAAATAGCAGCAATTGCAAGCCTTTCAAAGTCAGTAGTGAGCCGAATTAAAAGAAAAATCGATACAAATGTGCCTTTAGAACCAGGCTGTGTCGGCAAAAGTGGCCGAAAAAGGATCACTACTCCACGTTGTGACCGTAAAATTAGGGACATCTGTCTTAAAAACAGGAAAAAAAGTGTGGCTCAACTAGCTAAAATTATAAACAATGAAGGAATTAACATCTCCAAAAGGATGGTTCAAAGAAGGTTGGTTGAAGAGAATTTAATGGGTCGTCGCCCAATAAAAAAACCACGTTTAACTAAAGCCATAACAAAAAAGCGACTAGATTGGGCTAGAAAACACCAGCATATGACTATTGAAGACTGGAATAGAGTAAATATAATTTATAATATTGTAAGAAACCAGAAAAATTATAGGATTATAATTTAAAATATCTTTGTAATGTTTTACAGGTCTGCTTCTCGGACGAGTCAACATTTCAAATTTTGATGGACAAAAGCTCATTTGTTCGACGACGCCCAGGAGAAAAATTTCACCAGGACTGCCTTTTAGAAAAGGTTAAACATCCTGTGAGTGTAATGGTGTGGTCTGTGATCTCAGCCAAGGGTATGGGCTGCCTCTACATTGTGGATGGGACCATGAGGCAGGATCAGTACAAGCGAGTACTGGAAAACAGTCTTATGCCCCAGGTCCAAGAATGGTTTGCTGATAATGAAGAGTACATGTTCATGCATGACACAGCACCGTGTCATAAAGCTAGAAGTGTTACAGCATTCCTAACTGAAAAAAATGTGTGTGTTTTGCCATGGCCAGAGAATTCACCTGATATGAATCCCATAGAAAATCTGTGGGAGTTCACAAAACGGGAAATTGCCAAAGAAATCATCACTACTAAGCAGCAATTGATAGAAACCCTTTTAAGAGAGTGGCATAACAACCCCAGTCTCCAACACAATGCAAAAGTTTGCATAGAAAGCATGCCCGGACGCCTGAAAGCCGTCATTGTAGCAAAGGGTGTCATTACAAAGTATTAGGATTATTACCTTATTTGTTATGTTAAAACTTTTTATAAAAAAATAGATAGCTATGAATAAAAAATTATGTTGTTTTATATTCTAAATAAAACCAATGTTTAAAAATAACTACAAGATATTTATTCATTAAAGTAGTTTAAACTTTAAAATTACTTAAAAAGTAAAGTGTCCCTAAGAATTTGGCAACCCACTGTAAGTCCATTAAATGATGACATCTGTGAATTATGAAAAGACGAAAAAAATTAAAATGATAAATTTTACGAAAGCATAAAATATAAATGTTTTTAGCGAAAAAACCTAGACTGAAATTTTAATTTAGTTTTATAGGAAATTGAAGTAGCAAAACGTTGAATGTAAAACTTAGTTTCAAAAGAATGTAAAAGAGTTTTGCAATTTTCATATATAAATTTTTTTTCTTATCTTCTGCTAACTAATTAATTATGTAAAACACAAGTCTCTCCATCATAGATTATAGTATGCGAAAGCAAGTTAAAAACTTTTTTCTTATAAAATGGGAGAAGCATTTTTTCTTAAAGGGACTCAAACTGGCAAGACTAGTTGTGTTCATATTAAAGAGAATGATTAAAAAAAAAAATGTTTTGGCAGAATTTTTTTAAGTAAAACAAAATAATAAAGACAAGAAAAACAAACTTTGTTATTTTAGCTTGCCACCTCTGTCTCTTAGCTTTGTTGAAGCTCGCCGTCTCCATGATAGCCAGTCTCTCAAAGTCTTTGAAATGTATGTCGCAATAAACAGACTATAATTTATTCAAGTACGTTTAATTTCTTTTTTGCATCAATATTATTTGTTTTTGTTTTAAAATAAGCATTTACTATCATTCGTATGACTTTCCTTTAAATTTTATAGGAAGCTAAACAAAAAATTTTTTTTTTATAGAGCCCGAGAACCAAACAAAATTAAGATTTTTATAGTAAAATATAATAAACATAATAAATATTCTCTTAAATATAATAAATATTCAAAAAGGACGTTGATCACCTTATTATACATTCTGAATCTTTTTTCTTTTTTTGTAAACAATGTGAACTTTTCTTCTAGTTTATCTAAGCCGTTTATCACTATGACGTTTTTGTTCTCCTATTTAAATGACATTTTACAAATTCTTTAATT